AATAAATAAATGAAGTAATAAACAAATTAAAAACTGTTCCCGCCAAAATAATAGTTAGAATAAACTACAACAATCAACCCCAAAATTGAATAAATAGCTTTAATTATATTCCAAAACCAAAACAAAACTATTAAATAAGCGATATAAATAAATTTTTACTATGTTAATAAAAACACCGATTAAAATAAATATATATATAAGATAAGAAATAATAAAAATAAATAAAAACAAGCAAAATAATTTAACCCAAATAAATAAACAAACAAATAAATGACTTCTGGCAAAATAACCGCCAAAATAGACTACCCACTATGCACCACTGACCTGTATATATAAATAGCCGAGAAAAAAAAACAACACTCATGGTCTGACAATTGCATCTAGCATGAAAGAGCCTGTCGCCTCTATGTGTTGACTTCAATGTTCACTTTCATATATATATATATATATATATATATATATATATATATAGGTACTACTTAAACTGATTGGTTCGCTTTTGTAGATGAGCATTCATTGTCCTTCCTCCTCAAGCCATGACATTTATAAGATGATAAAAATATCAATATTTTTTTAATCATTTTTTAGAAGGGGGTCCTGTTTATAACATAAATACAATATTAAATCGATCCCTGACTTCTTAAAGAGTTACCTGTACTTTCTTTTTATTTATAAATGTCAAAGGCTTATGGCCACATCACATTGAAACACTAGTTCCCATACAATTACTAAAGTTAAGCAACATTGAACCTGGTCAGTACCAAGACAGGTGACTGCTTCAGAATACCAGGTGCTGTAAGCATGGATGTGTGGGTGGAGTAATAGCTCGAAATTGTTAATTGGAGACCTGAGTCCAATTCCAGTTGGGTTTGTTATATTCACTGATGTGCAAATGCCCTTGGGAAAGATATGAATCCACCTCTTTTCCTCCCAGCTATGGGTTAATTAGTAAGATTCATATCGCTAAAACTGTTATCATATCAAGAATAAATTGCATCCAAAATATTTAGATTTTAGCATTAAATGACCCACAGAGATGTTGATATGCCACTGAACAAAAACAACCAACCAACAAATGTCAAGTTTGAAACAGTACTGATGTCAGTGATAACTATCCTCCCTGATGATAATGTCCTTTTTAATGATTCGCAAAATGCAATAAGACTAATTCCATATCATGACCGAATTAACGGTATAAAAATTGTCTCCAACTTTGGTATGATGCATGATCACACCTTGGTTATTTTTTTTCAAATCTTGTGATCAGATGTGCAATAAAGCGTCAGTCATGATGAGGTGATATATAATGATCAATTTATTTTGACTTGTTCAAACTATTTTTTTCTATCTGTTATAAATCTTATTATATATAATGTTTCAGCCAAGTTCCCTTTAGCCATCGTCAGGGTTCTATTATTTTTGCTGATTATGGTGTTATTTGTATCCCTATGACATTGTTGTTTATTCCTGCTAAACCAGAGCATATACATTTCACTGCCTGATTTAGGGACTGAACTCACAACCACAGACTTCAATGCAACACTTGATCACCCAACATCTATTTTCACCATTTAATTTCTAGGGTACATCATGAGGAATTTCGACACTCACAAGGTTTATTAAAGACAATGGTTGAAAAAAAATAAAGGATGATGAGAGATAACAAAAAGGCAAGGCCATAGTAAAAGCTACAAAGAAAAGGACGTTGTGGAGATCCATGATCGGCCACTTCCTGAAGGGACACGGCACATAAAATAATACCACATTTGAAAGGCTACTTGGTCTATTTCATGGAAACCTTTTTTAAATTTAATATTTGATTTGTTTGCCTGTTGTCCAGTTCACACTCCTCCCTGGTCTTTTGAAGAGGAGTAGTAGTTTATCACTTGTTTCCATTTTAGGATTGGGTTTCTGATTCCTTCTAATGTCTTCTCATTCTCTTTCACTCCTAGAGCTCCTTATGGCATTATTGGCTAACTTAGGGGAACTGATTTTAAGCAAAAAAAAAAAAAAAAAAAAAAGCTCCAACATCTGCTTATAAAGAGTTGTACCACATTTTGATATATTTTTTTGAGATGAAGAATTGTTAATTTCCACCAATATTCAGGAGAACTTAAAATGATTACTTGGTTACTTATTTTAATGCATCATTTTATTTATAATCATTGCCATGTAATGCAAACAATGGTGTTAATTATACTTTTGCCAACTAAGACTGCTTTTACATTTATATAAGTAGCCAAGTAATCGTTCTAAGTAGCATAGTTAATCAAAGTTATATAATTTGTTAGACTGTTAATCAGACTTATTCAAAAGATATTCAGATCTTTTATGTACTTCAGTGTGTTTTATTAGCATGCCAAGACCCTTAGATGCCAAGCTAAATGGTCCCCTTAGATCTTTAGTGTTTCCAGGTATTAACTGCCCTTATAAGACCAATTTTCCTGTCGCCATTATTTCAATGGCTGCCAAATGTAAATAAATGCATATTTAACTGCACATATGTTTCTGTTATCAATCTAAACCATCCTGAGGCCTGTTGAATCATAACATGGGGCATAAACAAACTTGGTCCTCTCTAACTTCCTATCCTGTTCCTCCCAGTCCCTTTAAGCATACATTTAAAAGGTTGTTAGATAGATGTTGTAACCTTAATAGAACCAGAAATAACGACATAAGAGAGGAAGTGAGTTAAACAAATATATTAACAGAAACAGTAATACAAACATCTACAAACAAGAGTGTCACAGGAAGAATATTCGGTCCGACTGTCAGAGCTGACTGCTGGGAACTTCCCTCCCCAAAAGGCAGTACCTGCTCCTAATTATAGCTGGGATAGTCCTTGCGTGCATGGGTAAATTACCATAACAGTAGGTTACTCATTGGTTTCCTTCTGCTTGGCTTGCCTTCAGTGTGTCCTGTGTGTCAAATTCTTCAAAACCTTACTTCATAATATCTCATACAAATGTGCCCGTTTATTTTTTTTTTTTAAAAAAAAAAAAGAAAAAAAAAGGAAAGTAGATCCCTAAACATGGTTTGAAAGAAACCTAAAGGGCACATCTAAAACGTTTTCATAATAACCAAGATGATAACTGTCTATATCTCTGAAATGAGGTATTATGATTACTTACATTATTCAGACTGTTATCCTCATCTTCATTGCCATATTCACAATGCTTCAGTTGTTGTATGCATGCACTGGCCTTCTTCAGGTGACTGGAATTTCAAACAAACCCTCTATTTTGTCCATCAGGGTAGATTTTTCTAGTTCCACGTGCCATGCCTCTTCTGGATGTCTCAGTTACTTCCCTTTAACTCTCCAAGTTTGGTTCATCACTGCTGTGGCTTGGTATTGAACTCACAACTCTTTGGGTCTAGTCACTGGATTTAACCAACGTCTTTATCCACTGGGCTATATGTCCAATCCTCCCTAAAGAAGGCCGGAGCATACAACGGCCAAAACATTGTGAATATGGCAATGAAAATGAGGATGACAGTTAGAATAATGTAAATAATGTAAGGAAGATGAGTACATTCATCATTTTTTCTTTTTTTTTTAGTCATTTCACCCTAAGTAAGGCAAGAATGCCACTAGTATGCAGGGAGTTACATGGAGTGAACATGTGAGTATAGGGAGGATCGAAGAAATGACAAAAGATAAACAGGGTTCAAGAAGTTACAAGATGGTGATTGATGTTGCATTTAAATTTGTGAAGATTGTAGTCATCAGTGAAGCAAGGAATCAGAACGGAGTTCCACAAGCAGAAAGTGCAAGTAAAGAAACTGTCGGAGTAAAAATAACAATTGTATTTAAGTATTTCAACAATAGAAAGGTGGGACCTAGATGCCAATCTAGTAGCAAACATAAATTTATATAGTCAGGGCACCATCGTAAAAAGCTTGTCAGAGCAGTTGCCATGAAAATATTGGTAGAAAAGACAGAGAGGGGACCATGTTACATCAGTGAGAAAGTTTCTGAAGTCGAGATATCTGATCAGGATTGATTACATTACAGATCCTTCTTTTGGATTTTGTCAAGAATCTCAAGATCTACAGCTGGAGCACTAGACCAGATATGGTAACAGTATTAAATGCACGGACAAAGGTTAGATTTGTAAATGTGCAAGATGGATTTAGATGAGAAAAATTTTCTGGCATGACCCAACTTTTCTCGTAGTAGATGTAGCTTTTGATTTGATTTGGTTGGTTTACTTCAAGTGGGTTGAAAATGTAATGTGATGCCAGGATGGCGTAGTGTGTTGCTCTTCAGGGTTGCCAACTAACATTAAAGAGTACATCCTATTCTGCTATTAAAGTCATAGTTTGTTGAGGTGGGGGTGGAGAGAAGAAATGGATTTCTACCTCACCCAAGGGTGTTCTGACTGGAATTTGAACCCAACTCTCTGATTTCTCATTCTGATATGCTAAATATTACACCACCTGCATATTCATTCATTAAAGTGAAAAAGTAATAATTTGTTTAAATATTTCATAAGACCAATTAGATATGACAATTGCCTAATGAAGGTTGGAGATGAGGTCGGTTAATAACAAGAAATATTCATTGATGAAATCAAAGACATGAGAAATCAAAATTTCTTTCATGGAGGAATTTTGCCTTTTGCGCAATAATTAAGTCAATAATTAAAATGAAAATTTAGAACTTTTTCAGATTAATTATGTTTAAAAATTTATATTTTCAAATGTTTAAGAAAGAAAATATCTGAAATTATTTTAGTTTCATTAAAAAAATAAGCCAGACAGATTTAACCCCCCCACAAAAAAAAAACATTAATTTTATACTTGAAGGAATTATTGTTATTTAAAAAAATCTGTTTTTAATTAAAAGAGTTTGTTTATCATTAGATGTTGGATAATTCAAAAAATAACGTGAGAATCCTCTGATGGAACAAAAATATTTGGTAGGAATAACCAAAATTATAGAAAACAAGAGAGAAATTATTTACACATGTGTAATTCATAAATGTGACAATGTTGACAATATTCTCCAAATCAAATTTAAATTGCTGTGAAGGAGAGAGAGAGGGGGGGATAGAAAATAAAAAAGAGAGGGAGAGGAAAAAGAGAGAAAGCACAAAGTGAGAAAGAGAGAGGGGGAGAGAAAGAGAGAGAGAGTGAAAGGAGGGAGAGAGCGAAAGGAGGGCAAGAGAGAGCGAAAGGAGGGCAAGAGAGCGAAAGGAGGGCAAGAGAGCGAAAGGAGGGAGAGAGAGGAATTAATGCAGAGAGAGAGAGAGGAAGTAATGCAAAAAGACGGTGGATGGAAAGTAAAGAGATAATGCATTATTAACTCTAATGCATGCAGAGAGTGGAAAGAAAGCCAAAAGAGAGAGAGAGAGAGAGTATGGAGGGAAAACCAAAAGAGAGAGAGAGAGAGTGGAGGGAAAGCCAAAAGAGAGAGAGAGAGAGAGGGAGGAAAGCCAAAAGAGAGAGAGAGAGAGTGGAGGGAAAGCCAAAAGAGAGAGAGAGAGAGAGTGGAGGGAAAGCCAAAAGAGAGAGAGAGAGAGTGGAGGGAAAGCCAAAAGAGAGAGAGAGAGAGAGTGGAGGGAAAGCCAAAAAGAGAGAGAGAGAGAGAGGAGGGAAGGAAAAAGAGAGAGAGAGAGAATGTGGATGGAAAGCCAAAAGAGAGAGAGAGAGAGAGTGGATGGAAAGCCAAAAGAGAGAGAGAGAGAGTGGATGGAAAGCCAAAGAGAGAGAGAGAGAGGAGGAAAGGCAAAGAGAGAGATGGAGAGTGGAGGAAAGGCAAAAGAGAGAGATGGAGAGTGGAGGAAAGGCAAAGAGAGAGATGGAGAGGAGGAAAGGAAAAGAGAGAGAGAGAGTGGAGGAAAGGCAAAAAGAGAGAGAGAGAGGAGGGAAAGGCAAAAGAGAGAGAGAGAGTGGAGGGAAAGGCAAAAGAGAGAGAGAGAGAGTGGAGGGGAAGGCAAAAGAGAGAGAGAGAGTGGAGGGAAAGGCAAAAGAGAGAGAGAGAGTGGAGGGAAAGGCAAAAGAGATAGAGAGTGGAGAGAAAGTTATGAGAGGGACTGTTAGAAAAGCAAAACAATGAAAAGGAGAGAGTAAAAAGAGAGGTGAGAGAGACGAGTGGAAAGGAAACAAGGGGAAAGCAAATATGGTCGTAAAATTAAAGCAAAAAACAAAACTTAAAAAGGCATATAAAAATATAAGGTAAGTTAAAAAAAACAAAAAACTACCACCCGAACAATTATTTAGCTGACGGGAACATAACAATGTCTTCGAAATGCGGGAGAAAAAAAAAAATTCAGACAGAAAATAGTCACTCGCAGTTTTTGTATTGCTGCATCACAGAAAGAAAAGAAAAAAGAAAATATGAAAATAAATTAAAACTTATTCTGCTTCGGGGGAAAAAAATGAAAGAAAATCCCAAAAACATTTATTTCTTTCAGTACAAAATCAATATATATATATGTAGACATCTACCAAACGTCAAGCCTGGGTGTGAAAATTAGTAATGGGATTTGTTTATAGGTAGGCTTATGCGTGTTTCCCAATTTTTGAAACAAAATGATCAGACACAAATCAAGGACCCCCAAATGATAGAGTAATGGAAATTACATTTATTGAAAGGTAAAAGGGCAACATTTTAGGATCTGCAACCATTTCGTCTCACACATGAAACAAAAATGTCAAGAGGAGCCCTAGAGGGAAATAGAGAAGATGATTGTCAACTGGGTGGTCAACTACCCACCACCACGTGATGGCAGTCTCACTAAGGAATCTGGGAACAGCAAGTCATTTTAATGTTTCTGCTGAAGACAAGTGGATAAAGGTGTTGGTTAGATCCAGTGACAGGTCCCAAAGAATGTGAGTTCAATACCTGGTTAAGGCAGTGGAGAACTTTGAGAGGGAAATTAACAGGAGATAACTGATAACTGACATCCATTAAAAATGGCATGTGGAACAGGAACAGTCTACTCCAGTGAGCGAAAAAAAGATTTCAGTTCGACATTCCAACCAACTGAAGAAGGCCGAAACATTGTAATAAATATGGCGACAAAGATGAGGACAATAGTCTGAATAATGTAAATAGTGTACATAATACCTCATCTCAGAAATATAGACAGATACTGAAGGGCTGAAACGTAATAAATATGTCGACAAAGATGAGGACAATGGTCCGAATAATGTAAATAGTGTACATAATACCTCATCTCAGAAATATAGACAGATACTGAAAGGCCGAAACGTTGTAATAAATATGGCAACAAAGATGAGGACAATAGTCCAAATAATGTAAATAGTGTATATAATACCTCATCTCAGAAACATGGACAGAAACTGTACTTACTGTCTTAGTACAATTTTGGTGTCTTATATTAAAACTTAAACAAAGGCAATGCATCACCGTCAAATACCACATTGAAGGCATTCAAACCATCTCCATTCAGCTTGGGTCCTCAGAGTTCTGACATGTACAGACAAGTTTGCCATTGTTGACCTACACATTCTGTTACATCAATTGGTTTAAGGGAATATGGGCTAGTGATTCTGAATTTTTATCTACTTCAACAATGATGACACTTTCTTGGATCTTGTTTTAGTCGTCACTACAAAACTAGGTAAGTTGGGATTCTGCTGCGATAATGGTTAAGTCATACTTCCAAGTTTTGCGTAGAATAAACATGCTTTGTTCCAGTTTAATTTCTAATGATACATAGGGTGTTTCACAATTTTTGAAGCAAAATAATCAGTCACACATCAAGGACCTCAAATGATAGAGTAATGAATGGGAGAGAGCAAGAGGAGAATGGGAGAGAGTGAGTATAGGGGGAGTAAGAGGAAAGCGAGAGGAGAAGGGGAGAGAGTGAGAACAAATGGAGAGAGAGAGAACAAGGGTATGGAGAGAGAGAGAGGAGAGCATAGGGGGAGTAAGAGGGAAAGCAAGAGGAGAATCGGAGAGAGCGAGAGAGAATGGGAGAGAGTGAGTGTAGGGGGAGTAAGAGGAAAGCAAGAGGAAAAGGGGAGAGAGTGAGAACAAGAGTATGGAGAGAGAGAGTGGAGAAGGGGGAGAGAGAGAACAAGAGTATGGAGAGAGAGAGGAGAGCGTAGGGGGAGTAAGAGGAAAAGCGAGAGGAGAATGGGAGAGAGTGAGATGAGAACGGGAGAGAGAGAGAAGAGGAGAAGGGGGAATAAGAGAACAAGAGTATGGAGAGAGAGAAGAGAAGGGGGAGAGAGAGGAGAAGGGGAGAGAGCGAGAGTAAGAGGGAATGCGAGCGTAGGGCAGAGAGTGAGATGAGAATGGGAGAGAGAGAACAAGAGTATGGAGAGAGAGAGAGAGTGAGAGTAATGGATAGAAAGAGAGCAAGAGGAGGGGAAGAGAGTGTAGGGGAGAACTTAGATGTGGGGGAGAGAGAGGAAGTAGAGAGAAGAGAAAGAGGAAGTAGAGAGAGAGAGAGAGAGAGAGCATCTTGGATATTTGAATGGTCTGAAGCACAACACCTAGCTTAAATGAGTTTCTGCCACTATAAAGGCGATGCAAGCTTTCATTCTGTTGAAAGACAATTTTTATTTCTTGACCCTTGAATGTCAAGCTCAGAAGATATCAGTTACATTTTTAAAAGAAAAAAAAATATTTGTGTACTAAAACTTAGATTAAAAGACAATGCATAACAAAAAACGTAGGTAAAAAAAACAAAAAAAAACGTATTACTCTAAAATGGTAATATTGAAAAATAACTGACTAAAAGATGACTAAATTAGTTTATCCATGTTCTCTTGTCAAAGTAAAGATCAAGGACAAAAAATGACTAAAATATATACAATGCCAGATAAATGTTATATACAAGAAAATATAACAGATAAAGGTTAATTACCTTTAACCCCACCAATCACTCCTACTCACTAAGAGATGATATATTAAGTCCTGTCAGCCATCTCTTCTTCAATTGAGGTAGCCCAGCTTAGCACTGAGAACATGTGTGAGCTATAATGCTTTTAATCAAATGTTCAGTAGTGGCTGAAAATATTACATTTGGAGACTATTGTGCACATTTCCTGTTAAAGAAAGAAAATGAATGTGTATCCAAACACATATATCCACTAAATATGTTTATAGTAATTAGAAATATTTGAAATAAAATCCATTAATTCCTCAGAAATGACTTTGTTTACATTTCAAATATGAAGGTCTTTTGAACAAGAGTAAAAGTTTTTTTAGTTTCCAGTTGTCTTTAAAGTTATTTTCCTTCTTTGTCACTCCCAGTAGCCCCTTGCAGTATCGGTAAAATTTGCCTGCTCATTTTGGTCATATAATTCAAGCTTTCCTGGACAACAACAACAACAAACCACTTATTCCACAGGTTCCTTACTCTCCCAACTTGGCATTGTGTGACTTCTGGCTCTCCGCCAATCGGAAACCCATGCTGAAAGGGAAGCAATTTGAGTCACGAGAGGAAATTATATGAAAAACAACAGCAGAGTTCCACAGCATGCCAGAGCTGTTACCAGTAATGACAGAACTGAGGTGAGAAGTGCGTGAACTCCCAAGTGGATTATTTTGAAGGTGATTAAATAAAATTTGTGAAATGGACAAAACTACTGATTTATTTTATGCTAAATACGTCAGATAATTTTTGAATACACCTTGTGTGTGTGCGTGTATATATATATATATATATATAGTACAGGTAATCAATCCATTTGGGTTGATCCTAGTAATATATATTATTAAAACTGATCCACAGAGAGCTCAATGTATTCATTAAAACAGAGCATATGTATTTTTTTACAGCAAAAAAACAAAAATTACCTCAACATGGGGATAGTCTATTTGAAGTATTTCTGTACACAGCTATCATCAGTCCCTAAGTGTCTGTCTCAGAGCATTGTTTTAAATTTATTTTCAATGTCAGTCTATATATATATTATATATGTGTGGTACTTATTGGAAAACACTCAATATCAGTAATAAAGCTAGCATATTTAGTTGGATTGATGTGAGTTTGTGACCCTGGGTTTCACACTTTTGCAATCCTCAAACATTGATCAGATTGAGGATCACAAAGGTTGGAAACCTACATTATTAAGACTAATGTCCTCATCTTTGTCGCCATATTTATCACAACATTTTGGCTGTTGTATGCTTCGGCCTTCTTCAGGTGGTTGGAATTTCGAACTGAACCCTTTATTTTGCTCACTGGGGTAGACTGTTCTAGTTCCATGTGCCATGTTTTTGATGGATGTCAGTTATCAGTTGTCTCCTGTTAATTTCCCTCTGAAAGATCTCCACTGCCTTAACTGGGTATTGAACTTCAATTCAAGAAATTCATACCCAGATGTCCTCAAGCACACATGGCACAGTGGATAAAGGCATTGGTTAGATTCATTGACAGAACCCAAAGAGTGTGAGTGCAATACCCAGTTAAGGCAGTGGAGAACTTTCAGAGAGAAATTAGCAGGAGATAACTGATAACTGACATCCATCATGGTATGTGGAACTAGAACAGTCTACCAGTGAGCGAAATAAAGGGTTCAGTCCGATATTCCAACCACCTGAAGAAGGCTGGAGCGTACAATGGCCGAAACGTTGTGATAAATATGGTGACAAAGATGAGGACATTAGTCCGAATAATGTACATAATACCTCCTCTCAGAAATATAGACAGACTGTGGGAAACCTAGTGTTATAAACTCACATCCATACAACTAAGTATATATATATATATATATATATATATAAAAATTTTGTTTTAAAAATGATGTGTATTCTTTTTCTTTCAAATGAACCTTTTTTCATCCAACACTTCTTCAGAAAGATTTGTTGGAAAAAACAAAAGACAAAAAAAAAAATTATCATAAATGGTGACAATGTAAAAGTGTGTGTGGGGTGGGTAAATAAGGACCAATGACTAAAATAAATTTATTACTATATTAAAACAATATATAAATTCTGTGGTATAAAAATTTTTGATCAAATACATATTATACACACTAGGAATTTTATACATAAATGTTTGGTTGAAGTCATACAAATTGCTTGTCTAACCATTAAATGTATCTATCAGTTGCTAAAACAGTTGTCTCGGATTATTGTCTATCTATCATATAAGTAATGTTTTGCATAATTTAATTCATGCCTAGGGTATCTATGTCTGTTTATCTTTTGGCAAGCCATCCTCTAAAGAATGGTTTTATCTATAACTGCCATTAATTACTTTAGTTGATTATTAGACTGAAGCTGAAAGAAAGAATTGTGTTTTTGAAATGCCTTTTCAAATCAGTATTGTTTGTTTTTTCTGTCCTTGACTAAAATGTAAAGATTGTTACTTGGACCGATTATTTTGAAGATTGACTATTGGGAGGAATTTAGATTAGCCAGATTTCTTGTAATGACTGACTGCTCAGCTAAAACTGGTAATCCCTTTACATTAAGCGGCATGTTCAATGCAACCATAAAATAATGTGTGTGCTTTGAGAGCAGACAAATTTTATTTATCTGCTGTCAATTTTTCTTCTTGATCTTTTCCCCAGAGACGTTGTTCATTTTTTATTCCTGTCTGAATTTATTCAGAAAATTGGTGGTGATTCATTTGCTGAAATTAGGTTTGTGAAAAATGTTATTAAGACCTTATTTTAAGACACATTTATATCTACTGTCAAAAAAGAAAAAAAGATGGAAAATAAAGAGAGAAAAAGGAAAAAAGAAAAAGGAAAGAAAAGACAAGGGGGAAAAAGGAAAGAAAAGACAAGGGGGAAAAGGAAAGAAAAGACAAGGGGGAAAAAGGAAAGAAAAGACAAGGGGGAAAAAGGAGAGAAATAAAAAGGAAAAAAGGAGAGAAAGGATAAGGTAAGAAAAGAGAAAGAATAAGTAAAGAAAAGAGAGAAATAGATAAAGAAAGAAAAGAGAGAAATAGATAAGGAAAGAAAAGAAAGAAAAAGGAAAAGAAAAAGAGGAAAGAAAGGAGAGAGAAGACGAAGGAAAGAAAGAAGAAAATTAAGAAAAGAAGGAAAGAAAGAAAAAAGGAAAGAAGGAGAGAAAGAAAAAGGAAAGAAAGGAAGAAGGAAAGAAAAGAAAGAAAAAGGAAAAGAAAAAGAGGAAAGAAAGCAAAATGAAAAAACAGGAAAAAAGGAAAAAGATGATAAAGAGGAAAAAATGAAAAAAAAGGGAAAAAACAAAAAGGAAAGAAAAAATGGTAGCCGTATTTTATAAATTTTTCAGCTTCATTGTTTAAATTTTTATCTGTACTATAAAACTTATGACATATAAAACAGAATTTTCACTTTTTAAATCATTAAAAATAAATGTCTTTACTTTATAGTGTTAATTCTCTTTTTTCTCTCCACCCCAGGATTTTAGTCGACTTTTGAAGCTCTGAAAAGCAACAAATAATAATCAGTTTATTTTTTTATTGCAGTTTTTGATTCACCATTTTACAGTAATATTTTTATTATACTTGCTCTTTCTCCCTTTTGATTTTAATTTATTTGTTTATATTTTATCAGTACATATTCTTTTAAAATGACTGTTATAAAAGCCATAACAACATTTTGTAGCTTATATAGATTATATAAAATTAAAAGAATACAAAAACATACTGTAATGATACAAAGAGTGATTATCTTTCTTTGGTCGAGATGGTCACATGAGATTCGCTTAGGGATGTCACTACAGTGACGAAAGTGGTCAGTCATTCAGTTGGCTTACAACTGCCAAACTGAGCAGTTACTTTTTTTTTAGCCTGAGCCAAGGGACACCGGCTGAGGCTAAATCTACCTCCTCCAGCAATACTATAGCTTATAAGCACATATATTCCTAAAGGGAAATGGTGCTGACTTCCCTAGATATAGAAAGAAATTCCAGCTCGCAGACCTCAAATTGGGAAAACCCAAGACTCGGTGTTTCCACCTTTGTGGAATATGTCCTCATCTGGAAAATAGTAGATGAATCCAGCTCATTTGAATCTGGAGTCCTAAACATTGCATCCTGGGTAAGACGTTAAACTACATCCGCGTCCTGTGTAAGACGTTAAACTTCGTCCAGCAGCAAGGCCTCTGATCAGGAGATTTTGAGGAGCGTGGAACCACCTTTTAATTGCTGGTGTTCCCAGGTCCACCATGACCCAGGGTGGTAGCACCTGTTAGGGTCACAGCTATGGGCTAATAGTTAACTATTACCAGCAATACTTTTTTGAAAAAATTATTACCAGCAATTTTGAAGGAAATATATTACCAGAAACAGGTTTTTGACAAAAAAAACATTACCAGCAATAAAAATTTTTGGCAACATTAAATAACCCATTAGGGTTGATATGCCGTAAAACAAAATAAACCAAACCAATCTAAACCAAAGAATAATACTCTATTCATACAAATCTATCCTAAAATGTTGTTGGCATTAAATAACCCATTGAGGTTGATATGCCGTTAAACAATATAAACCAAACCTAAACATTGCTTTGCCAAAAACAC